GTCGGACACAACTGAGCGACTGAACTGAACTGAACTGAACATTTATTGACTAACATGTAGAGGCTTTGGGCTCAGCAACCCACATGCATCTTTTCTTTAATCCTCTCTTTATTACAGAGGCAGAGGCTATTATTACAGATAATGAGACAGAAGACTAGATGAGCTTAAATAATTTGTGTAAAGTCAAATGGACAAGCAATTTAATTATAACTTGCTCAAATCCAAAAGGCATGCTCATAACCTATGCTATCCTGCTTCTGTCAGGATGTTCACCTGAGCACTTTCTAGAATCATGAAGAACTGAAAGTAATCTACAGATCTGAGAAGAGGAGGCTAATTAAAATGTTATAGTACATCTATACAATATATGATCAAAAAAAAAAACCACTACACTTTAGAAGAATGTAACAGAAAATAGACACTATACTGTTATGCGAAAGAAGATTGCTAAAAAGCAGCATATATGCACCATGTGATTTCTAAGCATTTTTTGTTATATGATAGAATACTACATTTAAAAGATTGACAGTAATATGATAAAATAGTCAATAAAGATTATCTATAGTCTGAAAGACTTATTTTCTTCTTTGCTACTATAACTTTTAATCAGAAAAAAGGTATTTAAAATCTGTACATGAAGAGACAGACATATACTGAACATGCATAGACAGAGCTACCTATATTTTTTAAATGCTGAATCTAACTTTAGAAAGATTTACCATCACTTAACATTCATGCGGAGAAAAAACCAAACAGTACACACATGGAAGCCACTCTACTTCTAGGAAGCTGTAAATCTTCTTCCTCTTCACACTCTTCAAAGACATGAATCCAAGGGCAGCTCTTGGGATGACACTAGCAGAAGGCCACATAGCATATGCTATGAGAAATTCTGGCAAGCATTCTTAAGAAATTTGATTCTGCAAAATCAAAGTCTGGCTCTTCTATTCCTCCTCCCACCTAACGCCCCCCAACTTGAAGCTATCAAAGGAAGCTTCTGGTTTTGCTTAATTCTAACTCTCATTTTCAATAATAAAAATGCACTCTTCCACTTTGAGAGACTCTGACCAATAATCCAAATCTTAGCACCTGGTACATAATACAGCATCCAGTGAATACAGAATGAAAGGAATAGTGACTGAATGGTTCATACTCAGCCCAGCCGTGTCAGGGAGAGGTTTTGGAGTATGAGTCATATTTTTTTTACACTCTTGGCTAACCCAGTCTGGTACAAGTATGAAGAACTGATGAAGATGAAGGGAGACTCTGCCTTCAGGTCTGGAATTTCTCTGGCCTAATGGGTGATCCCTCAGTTCCAAAACCCAAACAGTTCAACTTAACTGACGGTGAGAATCTCAGATATCCTTCTCAACACTTTTGATTAGATCTTGCACTGTGGTCACCTCTCAGCTCTGGTTGAACCTCAGTTTGGAACCCAGTCTATCTCTAATGTCCTCCTGGCAGAGACAGCTGGCCTTGTGACTTTCAGCTGTTGGTTATTAGTTTCTCATGACATTTCTCAGATGTTCATGATTATTTTGTCTGTCCCTAGGAAAACTGACAAAGCAAGCAGGACAAATATCTTGTTCAAAGGTCACTAAGAGAAGTGATAAAAACAAGATCTTTTCATACCACTCTTTGCTTAGCACATGTGAGCTAAGATGGTTGGTTCTCTTTTAAATTAGCAACCCCGTCTAAAATGTGGTATTTCTTTTCAGTAGTGTCATCTTACACAATCATCTGCTGCCTTTGAAATATCTCTGCCCCTTTGACTCTCCTGTATTTAGTTGGTTACATGGTCCTGTTGATTCTCTTTCTCCAGTCATTTTGAGGTTGTCCTTTCTTCCTGATCTCAGAGCAGCTCTCTGGTTCAGCAGGTCATCATGTATGCTCTGCCTAATCTATCCCAACTGTCTTATTCCTCCATGTGTTTCCAAGATCACATGCATGCTCCATAATGCTGCCAGCATTATCCACCTAAAACTAGCATCTGATCAAGTTATACCTATGTTGACCATATACTTAAAAAAAAAATCACCCAGAAGCATTATTCCGGAAGGCACTCCCCCATCATTCTATTAATAATCCTGCTCAGTCCCCAGGATTCTGTGGACCAAACCCTTTCCCACCCCACCCCTGCACACCCACCAACCTCCCAGAGGTGGTGTGGGATCAGAGACAAGAAAAGGATCCAGGCCACTGGGATCTATCTGCTGTAGGCCATGCAACTGGCCTGAAGACTGTGAAATTAATCACACGCATGGCCCCATATGGATCAATCAAAGTCCACCCTTGGGACCTTCTGTCAAAATGATCAAGAAAGACACTCTCTACTCAGTGATGCAAGTTCCAAGGACCACTGAGGCTGGTTTATCTATGAATCTTCCTGCAGAGAATATGGCAGAGAATATAGGAAGACAAGGGCTCACAGGTTATGAGACACCAGAAAAAAGGAATGGGAAAGGCTGCAACGAATGTGGAGCCCCCAGACCACGCCATGCTCCTGCCATCTTGGACTCACCAGTAATGTGAGCAAATAAACACCTGTTCTGAATTGTCTTCTTGACACTTTTGTGTAAAAATAGTACTCACACAAACAACTCCACTACTTTGAAAATTTAATAGCATCTTACTTCCTACAGAGGAAAAAAAAACCCTGAACTCCTCAGAACAATATTCAAGTTCCTCAATCAAAGTGACCATCTCAGATTTCCAGCTTTAATTCTCCTGTTCCAGTCTCAAGTATTTTCAGATACTAAAATAATAATAATGAAATCAATACTCTTGGTTCATAATATTTCCTGAATTTGAATTATTCTTCTGTTCTCCCTCTACTACTCAGACCTTCAGACCCAGCTCCTACTGGGCACCAGCATCATATCTTACATAACAATTTTCATATGCAAGCATAACTGCCCCCTAACTGGATATTCTTCGAACAAGGAATGACTCTATAAAGTTTCACCTCTAGCACCTGACCATCTCTTTCAGAGAGCAGACACTCCACAAATGTATGCAGCTCTGATGGGAAATGAAAGACTAAGGATAGATACCTGTTAGACTCTTCATTCTTTCTTACACTAAAACTTTTCAAAAATTAACCGTATTACTGTACAATCCAGCAACTGCACTCTTGGGGACTTATCCTACAGAAACAAATTAATCTTCATTACTTTGTAATTTTATACACTGTACAAAAACCTGTACAGTGTTTACAGCTGTTTTATTCGCCCCCAGACTAGAAACAATCCAGTCATCCTTCATTGGATGAATGGCTAAACAAACTCAGATGCGTCTACACCATGGAATATTACTCAGCAAAAGAAAAGAACTCTTGATACACAAGACAACTTGAACAAATCTCAAAGGAATTTCGCTGACTGAAAAAAAGTCAATCAAAAAAAAATCAAAAAAGGTCAAACAGTATATGATTCCATTTAAATAAAAACTTTGAAATGACACATTCATTCCTATTTTTGGGGGGCTTCCCTGATAGCCCAGCCAGTAAACAATCTTCTGGCAATGCGGGAGGCCTGGGTCTGGAAGATCCCCTGGAGAAGGGAATGGCTACTCACTCCAGTATTCTTGCCTGGAGAATCCCAGACAGAGAAGCCCGGCAGGCTACGGTCCATGGGAATGCAAAGAGTTGGACACGACTGAGTGACTTAACACTTTCTTTGAAATGACAACAAAGAAACAAACAGAAAACAGATTAGTGGTTGCCAGGAGTTAAGAATGGGGGTGAGGTGGGAGGTGAGGCAGATGAGGGCAGCCATAAAAGGGATCCTTGCGGTGACTGACCTGTTCTGTATCTTGATCACATCAATATCTTGGTTGTGATACTGTATTATAATCTACTATTAAAGTGGGTTAAAGTACTCAGGATCGCTCTATGTCTTGTAACTGCACGTGAATCTACAATTTTCTCAAAATAAAAACTCTAATTAAAAAAAAAAAAAAAAAAACACAAAACACTAGCTACATCTCAAATCTGAACCAAAAATTAGATTCTCAGTGCAAGAGTACCTCACAATCAATCATAGTTTCCAACAAAAGATCTCACGGCAACTATCATACATTAGAGTTTTGCTTAAAAGAGGTGAGAAGAAAAGAGAATTTTCCTGATCAATATGAAAGAAGAGTCTTCTTTACACATAAAAATTATTTTCAGAAACTGGGATGGCAAAAAGAAATGACAAGTACTAACAAAGAGAAGTGTCCCTGCCCAAAACACTGAGCGTGAACAAGTCTATCTCTAACAGTGCACGGCTGGACTTCCATGGGGATGAGTAAGAGGCACCAATCTGTGAAATCTGATCCGTTTGCCATTTAGAGCCATGTGACTCACCAAGGCTGCCTGCATTCATATCTAAAAATACAGGAAATCTGCAGCCTAGGCAAATTTGGCTCATTGGCTCAGGGCTTTTTGATTCAAATGCTACACATTTAGAGATAGTGGTTTTATATTTATACCAACCAGCTGCAAAGGAGGTTCTGCTGCTCAAATGACAGAGACTAGGTGGAAGTCTAGAAGGAAAGAGGATCAGAAGATTTATCTGCTTCTATACATTTATCTGGAAGTCACAGAATGACACTTTCTCAGTCACTGGGAACATGAGATCTGAAGTTCTCTGCAGGCTAGAAGGATGAGCTTTCTTAGGCAAATGGGTGTGCCCCATGAAATGCTGGTCTTCAAAGAGGACAAAGGGAGTGTCATGAGCTATTACAGACAGAGTAGGGTGTGCCAGTCGCACGCAGTGGAGCATCACTTGGACTGGTGGCAACCAACTCTACAGACAGAGAGGGTGTGCTGCCTTGGACCTGCCATTTTTTGTTTTATCTAGTTCCACTCAGTATCTCCTCCAGTAATGCCTCAGGCCATGACCACTGGTGAGCAGGACAGTTGATATTTGTGAATTACCTCTTGGACACACAAATTCCTTCTCAGGAGGCTCCCCCTTCAACCCTTGGGAACTGCCTGGCAGAGCCCCTGCACTCACCCATCAAGACGCTCAGCAGCTTCTGCACTCTGGAATTGACCCCCACAATTCGGTAGAGCCCTTGCTCATTGATCCCTGAGAAGAGAAACAGTGAAGATTTAATTAGAGGCACGTCAGAACACTAGTCAGGCCAACCCAGCCAAATTCACTTTTTTCATTTTCTCAGGACTTCTAAAAGCTTCTCTAATTAAAATTCCCTGTCACTCAGCTCTGCTCTTAGCGAAGGAGTGGGATTTGGTACAGCTGTCTAGGATTTCATGGATGTGCTGCACACTTCAGTCCTCATGTTAGTTCAGTCATCACAGAGCACGAAACTGCCCTCTTCTCTTGCCAAGGTAGCATCTGAAGAGTTTTGAAAGATGTGAAATACACACTTCTACATATGTCATATTTAACCAGTTTTTTCATTTAAAAAACCAAAAATGCAACGATAAAATAAGTTCACACTACAGACAAGGATAAACACTTTATAATCTATTTTTGCATACAGAATGCAAATACTGAGCTGTTGGGGCATTTTATATTTTGGACAATGTTATCAGCTAAGGCTGAGAAATTAGTCAATTCATTCATCTGTGGTGCAAATTTCTTTATAAAGAAAAAAGTCGACCACCTTTATTGTACCCAAGGAAACACGCAAATAGACTAGAAGGGGTTCACCTTCAAACACCCAAACAAAGAACCAAAGCTAACCAGCCTCAGTGCTTTGTTCATTTAACTGCAAGGATTAAATCACCACTGCATCCTGTACATCCAGACCAAGTGGAATGACGTGGTGAAATGACATTTTTCCTGCTGGTCCCAAGCCCAGTATATCTGATACTTCTCAACTAACTGGTCTCCTGCTGCCTCTTATTCCCGATGGCCATCCTCTACATAGTACTCAAAAGGAGCTTCTCAAAGTGTCAGTCAGTTCAAATCATCTCTTTTCTTAAAATCTTCCAATGATTTCCCACTGCACTTGGATCACAATCAAAATTTACCATGGCCTGTAAGGCCCTACACAGTTGAGCATAGGCCCACCTCTGACTGCTTTATCACACATGCCTCCAGCCATGTGTGCCTTCCTGTTACTCCAGCATGCAAAGCTCATGCTCCCAAACCACAGCCTCTGCACAGGATTCCCTCTACCTGGAGCATTCTTCTCCCAGATCTTTTCACCACTGAGGTGTCAGCTTACATGCCACCTCTTTGATCAAAAATATCCCATGACCAGCATTATTCTCCACTGCCTTAACCAGTTTTCTTTTTTTTATAGTAGTCAACAGTATCTGAAATCATCTTTATTATTCAATTTCTTGTTTGCTTTCCCCCCACAATTACCACGTAAACTTTAAGTACAGTGAGTCTATCTTCTTCACCATTATATCCCCAGTACCTAGGTAAGTCTACAATTTAGGACAGAATGAATAGAACATTCATCAGGGCCACTACTTTGGGACCAAAACAAAATTTCCTGAAAGAAATCTGGGAAAAGGCTGACTGCAGTGTCTTCAACAAGGCCTTCAGAGAAATGGAACTAATAAACAAAAGGAAGTAGTCCAGAATGGTAAGATTTTACAGCTCAAATGGACTATATAAGCATGTACATTATCCTGCATGGTTCATGGGCTAGGAGACCCTGGGTCTCCTGAGGGATGGGCCTCAAGTGACTGAGTAGCAGAACCATTATTCAATCATGTGGTGGCTTGAAGGGCTTATCGTTTCTGCAACATCTCCACCCCTTCTGTCCCTGTGCTTTCCTAGAGCTTCACACTCTTCTAGCTTCTAGTGGATGACTGCCGAACCTCAGCATGCATGAGAGGTCTGTTCACTCACCTCTGGTCACCACCAATGGTGGTGGTGTGCACATAAATGCACTGCAGTAAGGAGATAACCCACTTCCTCTCAAGCATTTATGAGAAAATGGCATTTAACTCACACTGTCCTTGTTTCCTCTTTGTGTTAAAACTTCTTTAGATGTTAAAATATATCACATTCATTCTCATTTTAGAGGGGGTGGGGACGAGGAGATGGAGGCTAAAAGGTCAAACCAGTTGGTGACCCTCTTCTTCCTCTACTACTCAATGCACATATTTTCTGGTTTTACATCAGGAAAAAGTCACCCACTTGAGCTGTGGGTTTGCATTCATCACATAGACTATGAAGGAGTTTAAATGATTAGGAGATGTTGCTCTCAGTTTTGGCGGCTGAAAACTGAGAGACAAAGAGGCTGGCCCACCTCTGCAGGAATTTGAACTTCATCATGGAGAGGAGGGGAGCTCACTTTTGGCTCCATTTTTATACTCTTACCCTTGTTAATCCTGCCATGCTGCAGCCCATGGGGTCACAAAGAGTTAGACACGACTGAGCGACTGAACTGAACTGAACCCTGTACCTCTTATTTCTCATTCCTTTAAAATGACAAGAAAATCAAAACGCCTATTGAAAAATTACCTTAGTAACACACTTTAAAAAGTGTCGAAAGTGCAGTTATGGAAAACAGACAAATCCAAGGAAGACAGTGAAGGACAGCAGAATCTGCCACTCACAACACAAGTTGCCCATGCAAGCATGATCTTTCCTCTCCTTGCTGTCCCCAGGATGGGTTCAGAGTGGACAGGCTGGTTTAGAACTTGCATTTTTCACTTAATATACATTAATGAAAACAATAGATTTCAATAAATATATTTCTACTGCATTTTTCACTAAAAATTTTCACTAAAAATTCAGAGTGTTTTACTGTATGGATGTAGCACATTCTTGGTTTAACCAATTTTTGAGACATTTGGCCAATTTCTGTTTTTTGTTTTGTTTCTTACCTTAACACTACTGTATAAACATCTTTATGGCTCAACCTGGCCCATGACCTTATTTCCTCAAGATCAATTCCCAGAAATCTCACTTTCTTCTATTTTATATTCTCTGGCTATGTTTTACAAATCTTTGCAACTCTTTATTAAAGGAAGGTATAGCAGAAATAAGCAAACTTAAAAAAAAATAGCACACATTAAAATGATTACTTTGGAAAGAATAAATTTGGACTAGATGCACAGGAGTAGAGGTTTATATGGTTAGTCAGTTTTTTTTTTCTTCTTCCCCTCTACTCAATGCTTCATAGCCTTTAATAAAATGCTTGTACTTCTAAACTTTTAAGAGTTAAGGATCCTGTTTTAGAAAACAGAACTTCCTCAGACAAAGGGCTGGAGGGTTGAGATGTTGGAAAATCAATAAGATTCCCATCTTTGACAATGGTTCAAATCAAATCCAGTGGAAAGACAATGATCAGCTTTCCTCAGGAATATAACAGACAATGTACTTAAAAGCTTGAAACTGCCAGAATTGAGGAATCTCCTCTGAGACAGAGACCACTGACAAACCAGCCTCTCTGACCTCAAAGTGCTGCTCCTATGGACCCGGAAAGGTCACCATGTGAAACAGCACCACTGCAGAAACCAGGGGCCTGACCCTTTCTCCTTACCTAGACAGTGCCCTGGGCTGAATTCCTAATCTGGGGCCCACAACCCCAAGAAGCCCACTAGAGAATTCAGGGTGTCTATCAACTTAGGAAAACTATCACAGCTTAATTTCCACCTATAACTGAAATTAAACATTTCCTTCCATTACAACATAAGCAACAAATCACAGCTTTAGCAGTATATGCAACTTGCTTGGAAACCAAAGATATTTTCCTAACATGTTACAACTGTCACTGACATCCTGAACTATCACTATTTCTGAATTATGCTAGCTATCAGACCCACTGCCGGAACCTGATGTGTAAACAAAGAATCACAGAATTATTATATCACAACCGTGGTTTTTAGTATTTTAACCGAATTTCAGTAACTTCAGTAGCTTCCCTGGTGGCTCAGAAGGTAAAGAATCTGCCTGCAATGCAGGAGACCCGGGTTTGACCCCTGGGTTGGGAATAACCCCTGGAGAAGGGAATGGCTAGCCACTTCAGTATTCTTGCCTGAAGAATTCATTGGACAGAGGAGCCTGGTGGGCTAGAGTCTACAGGTCCACAAAGAGTCAGACACGACTGAGTGACTGACTAACACACATCAATAACTAGATTCCTTATAATTCTATGTATTTATATGCATGCATTTAAAACAGTCTTTTGATTAGCTGAAAAGGTTGATGACACCAAATGAACCAAATCAGCTGAGAGCCCCTGTGCTTCAGAACAACACAAGCTGTGGAGCACACTGCCAATGGCGTTTGGGGAGTTAATGAGTCACTAGAGGTTGGGAAACAGCAGGTAGCAGGTCTGCCACCTCACCAGATGTGTGACCTTCGCCGAGAACAATGCCATCTGCTGAACTATTTTACCTCTGGTTTCCACAGCATGGATGCATTTCCTGATGATGCTGAAACCAATGCTGTCCAACTGTGCAGCTGAAAGAGGAAGAAGAAGGCAGTCAAGTTGCTGGCCACACATATACCAACCCCGGAACAGCGCTTGACCAACCCAGCATGACTCAGTCCCATGGTGTTGCCAAGGATTCTTTTCTTTTTTTCCACTGAAAGTACAAGAATGACTCAAAATTTAAAACTGCTAGCATTCACAGAGAGCTTACCATATGCCAGGTACAGTTCAAAGTGCTTTGCACATATTATCTCATTTAATTCTCATGGTAACTCTCTGCAAGGTTATTGTCTATTAACAGCAGAAGAAACACAGCACAGAGTGATGAGTACTTTACTGAAGGAGTAACCAGGCAAACTTTAACTTGTTTTGCTATTGTCAGGAGCTTTAGGACTAACTGTGTGCTGGTCTCCTTCAAAAGGCATAAAAAAAAGACTATACTACCAAAGCAATCTATAGATTCAATGCAATCCCTATCAAGCTACCAACGGTATTTTTCACAGAACTAGAACAAAAAATTTCACAATTTGTATGGAAACACAAAAACCTCAAATAGCCAAAGTAATCTTGAGGAAAAAGAATGGAACTGGAGGAATCAACCTGCCTGACTTCAGACTATACTACAAAGCCACAGTCATCAAGACAGTATGGTACTGGCACAAAAACAGAAATACAGATCAATGGAACAGAATAGAAAGCCCAGAGATAAATCCATGAACCTATGGACACCTTATCTTCAACAAAGGAGGCAAGGATATACAACAGAAAAAAGACAACCTTTTTAACAACTGGTGCTGGGAAAACTGGTCACCCACTTGTAAAAGAATGAAACTAGAACACTTTCTAACACCATACACAAAAATAAACTCAACATGGATTAAAGATCTAAATGTAAGACCAGAAACTATAAAACTCCTAGAGGAGAACATGGGCAAAACACTCTCCGACATAAATCACAGCAGGATCCTCTATGACCCACCTGCCAGAATATTGGAAATAAAAGCAAAAATAAACAAATGGGACCTAATGAAACTTAAAAGCTTTTGCACAACAAAGGAAACTATAAGCAAGGTGAAAAGACAGCCCTCAGATTGGGAGAAAGTAATAGCAAATGAAGCAACAGACAAAGGATTAATCTCAAAAATATACAAGCAACTCCTGCAGCTCAATTCCAGAAAAATAAATGACCCAATCAAAAAGTGGGCCAAAGAACTAAACAGACATTTCTCCAAAGAAGACATACAGATGGCTAACAAACACATGAAGAGATGCTCAACATCACTCATTATCAGAGAAATGCAAATCAAAACCATAATGAGGTACCATTACACTCCAGTCAGGATGGCTGCTATCCAAAAGTCTACAAGCAATAAATGCTGGAGAGGGTGTGGAGAAAAGGGAACCCTCTTATACTGTTGGTGGGAATGCAAACTAGTACAGCCACTATGGAAAACAGTGTGGAGATTTCTTAAAAAACTGGAAATAGAACTGCCATATGATTCAGCAATCCCACTTCTGGACATACACACCGAAGAAACCAGATCTGAAAGAGACACGTGCACCCCAATGTTCATCACAGCACTGTTTATAATAGCCAGGACATGGAAGCAACCTAGATGCCCATCAGCAGACGAATGGATAGGAAGCTGTGGTACATATACATCATGGAATATTACTCAGCCATTAAAAAGAATTCATTTGAATCAGTTCTAACAAGATGGATGAAACTGGAACCCATTATACAGAGTGAAGTAAGCCAGAAAGATAAAGACCATTACAGTATACTAACACATATATATGGAATTTAGAAAGAAGGTAATGATAACCCTATATGCAAAACAGAAAAAGAGACACAGATGTACAGAACAGACTTTTGGACTCTGTGGGAGAAGGCGAGGGTGGGATGTTTCGAGAGAACACTATATTATCTAGGGTGAAATAGATCACCAGCCCAGGTTGGATGCATGAGACAAGTGCACTGGGAAAACCCAGAGGGATCGGGTAGAGAGGGAGGTGGAAGGGGGGATCGGGATGGGGAATACATGTAAATCCATGGCTGATTCATGTCAATGTATGACAAAAACCACTACAATACTGTAAAGTAATTAGCTTCCAACTAATAAAAATAAATGGAAAAAAAAGGCATAAATTAAATGCTCAATAGATGTCAGATAAGTGCTTCACAGAGCTCACCTTGTTTAATCCCAGCAAGTCCTCTAGGTTGGTACTATCATGAACCCCAAATTATACAAGAAGAAACAGATTTGGCAAAGCTAGCTATCTTGACCAAAGCTGCAGAGCTAATATGTGCGAGACTCACTCCAGAGCCAGTACAACCTTAACTGCCTTAAAAGTGACTCTGAAAAATAAAAAAATAAGCGACTCTGAGTTAAAAGGGAGGATAAAATTCTGCTCAGATGACTAGAAAAAGGGAAAAAAAGGAAAAGTGACTGGGGGCGGGGGGGGAATTAAAACAGCCAAAGACAAAGAAGATATCTAAGGGAAAAGCACTAGTGTGGAAGACCTATCCTCTGTGTGGTGACAGGGTTCTCCATCTGCTCCAAAACACCCTCTTGTCACTCAGAAAATAAATGACAAGCAGCACCAACTTTTCCACAGCACAGAATCAACTGCCAACCTGGCAACAGGGCTGAAAACCCAACAAAATTCATCCCCATGCTCTGATTACCCAATGATAAGATGTGCGTGGTAATCTTTAAGAATCTTTGACCTCCTTAGGATATCAGGACAAGATGTTCTACAAACCAGTGTTCTGAGTGGAGAAGGGAATGGTAGGAAGAAGGAAAGTGAGTATTTATAAATGATTTGTTGTCATCCCAGGGCAAGAAATACACTTACAAAATACGAGAACTGAGCAGAACTTGAACTCATTCTGGATCTCATCCAAATGGAATCTCTCCATTCTTAATGTATATAGTTGACTATAGGTCCAGTGAAGGAAAAAATCCTTTAAAAAATCACTGAAAATTCCCCAAATCAAACCAAAAAGGAACGGCAACTTCCCCAAACTTCTCTTCCCAAAGAGAATCAGCTTTAGCTCTTACATGTGTACATATCACTTCATGGTACTTATTATTAAACATACTTACTATCTCTAGGATAGTAAATAAAGTACTGGAAAGGGGGAGGAAATGATGTTTTTCTTCCTGCAGAGCACTTGCTATACAAACCATTGTTCTTGTTCTCTTAAAGCTACAGAGAGTCTACTAATTCAATCCCTTGCTTCTTCTAATATGAACCGAGTGTTTACTCTGCAAATTGTGTTGTATATAGCTTTCTGACTCGGAAAAGGATCATTCTTCCAAATAAAGCTCAACTCATACCATTGAATTTTCTCAAATTTTGACAAACTATAATACATAGTCTAAATATCTACTGGAATCAAAGCAAGATTTTTTTTTAAATGATAACTCACTAAGATATAATTCACATACTGTAGTGTTCACTCATTTAAAACTTACAATTCATTAATTTCTAGTATATTTCAAAGTCATGAATCAATCACCATTCTCTACATAACATTTTCAATACTCCCATGAAAAACCTTATACACATTAATAGTAACTCTCTATTTCCCTCCTCCCTCAGCTCCTAGAAACCAGAAATCTAACTTCTGTTTCTATAGATTTGCCTATTCTGGATATTTCATGTACAAGCAATCATATAATATGTGGTCTTTTGTATCTAGTTTCTTTCACTTAGTATAATGCTTTCCAGATTTCTCTACAATGCAGTATCAATGCACTTTACTCCATTTTATGACTAAATAACATTTCATTGCCAGGATATACCACATTTCATTTATCCATTCATCAGTTACCATTTCTGCTTTTTGGCTATTATGAATAATGCTACTAGGAACACACTGGTGTACAAATCTTTGTGTGAACATATATTTTCATTTCTGTTCATTATGTGCCCAAGGTTAGAAGTGCTAGGTTATATGGTAACTCTATGCTTAACTTTTTGAAGAAATGCCAAACTGCTTTCTAAAAGTGCTAGACCACTTTACATTCCCACCAGTGACATATGAAAATTCCAATTTCTCCAAGTCCTTAGCAATGTTTGTGATTGTCTTTTTTAATTACTGCCATTCTGGATGTGAAATGGTATCTCACTGTGGTTGTTACTTGCATTTCCCTAATGACTACTGGTGCTGGGCATCTTTTCATGTGTAGGGGAGAAAGTTCATTCCTTTATACAGTAGTCAAAATAGAGCCTACTGGCAAGTATTTGTCAGAGGGGAAATTGTTTTCTATACTTAAGGATGTTTCCTAAATGTCTATAACATGATTCAACCAAAGCCTTTTGGTTCTTCTTTTGAGAGGTGATTAGGAGTATTCTTGCACAGGGATGATAGTCAAGGAAGTTTGGGAGAGAAAGGACTAAGTTGTGGACAGTGCTCTGGGGAGTTGCTGAGATGGATTCCAAATTTGGAAATTTTAAGGGTAGGTTTGTGAACATGGTCATGTTCTAGGCATTGACGAACTTCTGTTCTGGACAAAGACTGTTTTGCTTCCTTACCCCGTGAACATGGTTAAAATTAGAAATAACTTGGCAGCTGACAGGGATGACCCCAGTGGCCAGAAGATACATGCTCATAAAGCCACTAGCCCAACTACTGGAAGAAATATGGACAGAGCTAGATATAACCCTGCAGAGACAAATCAGTCCTTGACCTTTTCTCATGGAACTGTGGGAAGTTGGCTCCTTCTCTAAGTAGGTAATAGCTAATGGAAAACAATACAATGCTATCCCCCAAGCATATTCATAAAAAAACTAAATTCCACTAACCCACACTAATTACACTTATGTCTTTTGGAAAATGCCAAAGAAAAATGCCCCCCACCCAAAATCTCTGAGTAAATGTTCCTTCTTTGGTTTTCCCAAAATTAGAAGTTCTCCCATTTGTTTTATACCAGCAAAACCCTTTTCATGAAATAAATCCTACACAGATGTTACACATAAAGTCATTACACATGTAACAATGTTAGTATTATTAGTTGTC